TTATAAAATTCGTAGGTTTTCATAAATGTTTCGAGTATCGTACGAATACCCTTTCTAGCACAAAAATTATTTAATTAAATTATTGTAAGTTTGTCTTCTGAAGTTATTAAATTAATCGATAACATTACGAATAAATAAATTATATTTATACTACATATTAAAGTACAATACAGAGTCAATTTTTTTGACCATTTGGATTATACAAACAATTTAGCTAGTAAATTTAATAAATATTTATTTTTATTAAAATAACAATGTAAATAATGTTCATCACCTATGTGTAAACAATTTTTACATTATTTTGAAATTATTATATAACATAAACGCAACAGACTGCAATGAATATAATTATTAATGTACATAAATAATTCTCATTTTCTATATCTGGGTTTGTCAGTCCCAGGGCTGAATCATTTTTAATGCAATTTAAATGGTTCACCTCCAAAAAAGCGAAAATAAAAATCAAACACATAATATTGAATACAAAACCGCAAAAATCATTTAATTGAAAGAATAATTTAGCGAATAAAAAAAATGAAAATTAAAAAAACAATTATTATTTTTGTCGTATCTATATATTATTTATTTTCATTATAAATAAAATATTTATGAACTAATATGTCAAATTATAGGCAATTCCTTTTAAAAAATTTAAATTATTACTACCACCACTCGAGTTGGTATTTTTGTAGTACATATTATTTGTTGCGGTAATAGTTGTATGTGAGTAGCTTCGTTTTTCGTATTTGCTACTACGATCCTTGCATGAAGTTTATTTACATCAGCCACGTGTAAATGATTTGACGGCCTTTTAGTAATAGATTCGCTTTTAACTATCATTCGGCTTTTACAATGGTGTTCTGTACACCTTAAATACATTGTGTTTTCAATAGTTTTTTCCACTATGGATGAATATCCATCATATATTTTCAGTTTTTTATTTTTATTACTGAATACGTATTCCATATTAATACAATATTATTTGTGCTCAGCGAAGAATCATACACGTAACACAAACTACACTAACCACTGGAATACTCGATTAAATTAAAATAACTTGATTAAAACTACGATTAAAGAATAAACATATCTAAGGTTAAGTTCACATGGAGAGCGTTAAACGGGCGTTTATTCAACGCGCATTTTTAGTCAGTGCTCACATGAATTACAGATTTTACGCGTTAAGCGCGTGCATAAACTATAGTAATAACCATAGGCGTAAACTGAGGAGGGGGGGATAAGGGTCAATTGCCCCCCTTCCTAGATAAAATTAGGAGGGGCAGTGCCCCCTCTGGTATTTACATACCTTGTTTTAAAATAAGAACAAAACAGCTGGTTATAGCTATTATTATAACATTTTTTTTGTTTAAATCTTAAATTTTCGCTTATGTAATATAATATTAGAAAATTAATAATTTTATATAATAATATGTAGGTAGTAAAGCGGCATTTAGCCTCGGACACCCTTTTTGTTAGATATGCAATTATATTTTTGCCCCCCTAATAAATTTCCAAGTTACGCCTATAGTAATAACTAGGGCTCGGGTTTCAAAGCATAATAAATAACAAAAAAAGCACGAAATTATTTAAAAAAAAGCAAAAATGAAGCATATTTACTTTTAAAAAAAGCATAAAAAAGCATAACAAAAATTAACATAAATTAGTTATAATTTTATAAAACTGAATAAAAAAAATTGAAAAATTAATTTAAATTAAAAAAAGAATTTACTACCATATATTCGGCAAGATTTTCAGAAGTGAAATTGACTCTATTGTCTGACAGGATGTTTTTATACATAGAAAATGATCGCTCTATATCCATCGAAGTAATCGGTGCATACTTCGATATCGATGTTATACGAATAGTGAGTACTGAGAGTAGTTTCTACAGGTAATATGCAATAGCCGATAAGCTATCGACTTCTAAGCTGTCTGTAGATCGATAATCTATACGTTTAAGGTTGATCCACACTTGGTACGGTCACGGTTCGGCGATGGGTTAAATATAATATCTATATTTATATTAATTTTATAATTATTATTGCGGGTTTTCACATTTCTTATAAATTATGTAAACATTTTTTTCATTAGTATAGCATAACAAAAAAATAAAAATTCCACAGCTAGAATAACTGAAAAAAGCAATAAAAAAGCAAAAAAAAGCATTTATACTAAAAAAAGCAAAAAAAAAAAACAAAAATAAATTCGTTTATTTCGAATCAGATTAACGTGAAACGAATTTATGTAAAAAAATTATATTTCTATCTTAAATATGTAAAAAGAAGCATTTGCTTTAAAATCCGAGACCTATACATTATCAATATTATTGTCGCTCGCTTTTATCTAGATTCGTCAAAACAGCTTTCACTATTTTAAGTTCGTGGTTTTTTTTTCGTTATTTTATTTTCGCTATTTTGACGGGGTACCAATTTAAACTGCCTTACTATAAATTACCATTATAAGCTTCCTTCCCTGCCCCAATAGGTTATTTTAAAATTTTAAAAATAATGAGTTAAGTATGTAATAAGCACATAATTATTGACTACTTATACTATTTGATACGCATGTATTTTGATTTCGCCCTGCAGACTCCGCAAGCTTTTAATTTTCAATCATATGCTATTAATATCGTTCAGTTGTATTTTTTAGATAAAATCCGTAATTTCGTAAATAAATCATTTTAATCATTCGAGTTAATTTTTTCTCCCCTTTGTCTCGTAAATAAGAAGATTAGACGAGCTTCGTTTAAAAATGTATTGTTACGGCGCAATTCTTGTAAGGTTGTACTAAGATTTCGATTTTATGCTTTAGGCGAAAAATTATAGGTAGGTAGTAACACGTCAATATAATTGTTATTTGGATTCTATTATCTGTTTAATCAGTCGGTAGCAGTGCTGGATTAAGGGCCAATACCGCCCTGGAGCAAACAATGTTGCCCTCTACACCTCAAAAAAATAAGGTTAAGTGAAACCAAAAAAAAAAAAATCCTGGTTTTTATGTATTAATTAAAAAAATAAAATACTCTTATAAAATATAAGTTAAATATAATAATTAATCTACATAAACCCAGGATTCATTTAACGGAGGTGTTTTAAAATTGAATAGACTTATGATAAGTGGGGGCTCTCCCCTTCCCGTATTACATTAATGAATACCATGTATTTATATAAATTATTATATAAATGAAAACGATTATATTAAGACTGTATAAAATCTACAAGTTGTATACAACGTTTCTTCAAATTACGCTGTAAGTAATTAGGGGGTGGGTGTTCTAACACCCATATCACTCTCCTAAATAAGCCCTTGACTTAAACTAAAAAGCATAATTAGGTATATGATTAATGTCACAGAATAGTTTTGCAAAGAATTTTTTTAAACAGAAAATATTGACAAAATACAATTATAATGTTTAATAGTTACAAGTTTTTATGTTTTTCATATTAGTTTTTCTCACTTCATTTCCTCAATCAAATCAGATTCTGTGCATAAAATTGATAAGTTGGACATTTTTTCTTGTATTAATGACGATCTTAAATAATTTTTATGAGGCTATTTTATTTATGCCGCCCCGGAGCAAATGCTCCTTTTGCACCTAGGTTAATCCGGCCCTGGTCGGTAGTGTTGCCAGCAATGATCGTTGATCATATTATTATTTACCCGTGTACAACAAAACATCTAATCGGTCTAGAATTATGGGGTTGGTAAAAGCTTGTTAAAATATGATGGCAATCCATTCGGTGTACAATGGTATCTGTATATGATGCCATTATTTGCGCCCTTATTTGATATCGTATGAAAATAATGATAGCTATTTGCTATTTAAATGTTAAGCATACATTACATTTACACAAACAAAACAAATATATATGTACAATTTAAATTCGGAAAATTAATGTTCTAATTTTGATTTATTTAGAATATTACAATATATGAATTATAAAAATGCATTTACACATGCTTTGAGGCCAAACTAATAGCCTATGAAAAACATGACTCTTTAGTTGGAGTATATAAACGTGTATAATTATTTTTATTAAAAAACATTGCAAAATCGCTTTAATTGATGTTCTAGGTTACGAAAAATAATATAAGAAGTAGGTAACGTAACACATAAATAAGTATGCGTAAGAGAAAAAAAACACTTGAACACTTTTAAACCAACTAAAAAATGCATTGAAAACGATTTGTTTTGGAAAAAAAAACTGGATAAATAAATCACATATTGGATTGAAATTATTTCGATTTTTTTTTTTTTAAATAATATACATTAAGAAAAAAAATGTTTTAACCGTGAATTGTTTAGTAGTCGTTCACTTCCGGACACCCGAAAACGCATGGACGTAAAAATATACTTATTAATCGTTTATTCTACTTGATTTTCTTGGGTAAAAAAAAAAAAAAAAATGTCAAAATGTGAAAAACGTAAGACAAAAATTACATTAAACCAAAATTTAGGTTTAGTGTGCGTACATCGTCGTCAGAGACTCGTGTTCTGCTTACGGTGTGCGAACGTGTCGTCAACGAGAAATGACGATTCTGTGACGTTCGTAAATTTTTTTTTTACCTACGTAGACTACGTGCGCGCGGGATTGTTTAGAAATCGGTAGCTGGTGAAATCCGCCCGTGAACGGCGGTGGGTGGGGGGGGGACGTACCCCGTCGGTATCGCTGGTGATAACGCGATAACCTGCTGATAAAACTCCGTCGACCGCGTACGTCGTCTCGGGCAAGCATTGCGAGTGCGTCACTCGTCGTAGTCGTCATTGCCGCCGCCGCTGCCTCTGCGACCCGACGACTTGCCTCTTGTACGCTCACCGGCTTACACCGTCGTCGCTTTGCTATTGTTTTCATTCAATATAGTCGGTTAGTCGACATTACACAACTGTTGCGAAAACTATTGGTTTCCGCTGTTCGTCCGATCGCCGTTTGCACTGCCCGGTCGACGGCCATTCCGCCCATTCGTTTCCATCGTTGTCCAGTGACCGACCGACAAGAACCATGTCCAAGCCAAAGGTGTACGTCGTCGGAGTCGGCATGACCAAGGTAATAACGCGGTACTACCGTCGCAGTCGTGTTCATAAAAGATTTTGGTTACCTATGGGAACGTATTAATAAAAAAAAAAATAATAAAATCTTCTTCATTTCACTCGCATGTACTTTCTCTTTTATCCGCGTTTCTCTTACGCAATAATCCGTGCTGCGTCCACTTGCATTACGCTCGAACTCGATATGAATGCAAACTGCAGTCGTTAACCCACTGGATAGCCCAACAGGTGTCTGCACACCGATCTTGGATGGGAGGAGGTCAACATTTGAAAACTGTATAGAATTTTGAATGTAATGGTTTATAGCGAAAACTGTTTAGAAACGTTCCATGTGTACTTATATATTATAATGCATTGAAAGTTAATAATCATTTTAGACACAACGCTCTGACAAGACTACTGTTAGTTATGAAATAAATTTAATTCATAATATTTAATATTCATTATTTGATTTTCCTTCAAAACAATCTTTTATCAAGTTTTTGTATTTTTATAAATGATATATTTTAAATATTTTATTATGAGTCTTTTTAATACTAAAAAAGTCTATGAAAAGGTATCTACGCTATATACTTGGATACATTGACTCATAGATATTTCTTAATACAACAAAGCAATTTAAATTAACCATTTCTTTAACAATGATTTGGCTAATAACAGTGAGCGTATGATTTCGGATAACATTTTAGCAAGAAATCCAGCAATAATAAAATCTATTTCAAAGTGTTATTTCTTTTAATTATACTTCTAAATGAAATCTTAAAAGTTATTTTATTTATACAATATATAAAGTATATACTGTATATAAATATATATTATACAATGTATAATATATAATACTTGTTAGGTTGCTGTAGTCAACGTTGATTAATAATTTTAAAATTTAGCCAGTATTAATCTTGGCATTATATACTTAAGCAGGATCTGGACATAACAATTTTTTTTAATTTCTTAGTGTCTTACTATGTAAGACATTAATATAAGTTTAAGTCTTCAAAAATATATTATTCAATGAACATGATATAAGGCAATAGGAAATATACCTTTATTATTGGTTTGAGTGTATTTATGTTAAATATATTAGTGTAGGTATGCCTTAACTTTTAGTAAAAAATATTTATTATTTTAATAAATTAATATTAATAAAAATATTATAGCCAAAATGATTCTACATAAATTTTTTTGTTTTAAAATAGTTTAGTAAATAATTTTAAATAATTGTTGTGATAGCTACATGTAAGCATTATAAAAACAAATTATGTACATCAATAAAATTGTAAGAATCGAAAATAATATATACATTTATTAAGTGGACAAGGCTAACAAAATGCATCACTACAAAATGCCATTGATTCCTTTTAATTGTATAATAAAAATATTTAAATTTATTCTTCACGGTTGGACTATATTATGATTCAAGTTTTAAACTTTTATAATTTTACTAGAAAGGCTTATTGAAAATGTTTAAGACCAAAAATTGAATAAAATAAAGTTTACTAGTTGTAACTATATATTTTGTAAAAATTACAATTCAAATATATTTTTTTAATATGTAAATTAAAAAAAAAAACTAAGTTTTGAATTTAAAAAATAGTAATACATAAATTAAAGTTATTAATATGTTTAACATTCATCATCATCTAGTGGTACTCATAATATATATTAGCATATGATATATTTTACTCAATTGTTTCCTGTTAAAATTATAATCATTATAATTTTTGGTTTTTCATGTTTTGATTTTTACTGTTGAATATTGTGTTCAATTTTCATACATATTGTATTAATGCATTATTTTTGCATGTACACCTAATAACACATAATTAATTTAATATCAGTATATGGATTAAATAAATCATTATGCTACCTATATAATAGATTTGTTCGTTAGATTATATAATAGATATATAATAGATTATAAATAAGATTATTATCTTATAAAGATAAAAACATTGATGTTATTTTAGATATAATAAATATGAAATTGGCATAACAAATTCTTATTATAAGTAGGTCATTAGACTTATTTTGAATTTAATGTATCACAAAGTAATTAAATTAATTAACTTTTTGTTAATTTTACATCATATTGTTTATTAAACTTTAATTTTTGATTGATGTTACCTAATTTTTTTTGTTTTTTAATTATTTGATTGTTTTAGTTTGAAAAACCTGGCAGTAGAGATAACTTTGATTATCCTCAAATGGCAGTTGAATCTGTTACTAAAGCTCTTCAAGATGCTAAAATCCCAATACAGAAAATAGATCAAGCATGTGTTGGTTATGTTTATGGTAATGGTCAATTAATAAATAAATTTATAATAAAATATATATTACATATAGGTATTCTCATCATATGTGATCTACTGCACACTTGTCATCTGCCACATATGTTTTTATATGTTTTATGGGATTCACCGTAAACCTATTATCTACCACGCATCTATATATATATATATTTTAAGTCATTCTTATTGATTCAACAGCTACTAAGTATCACTTAACTATTTAATTTCAATAATAAAATCTTGCCATAACCGTTACTTTAATCGTAAACGTATGAGAAAATCAGTTACAGTTTAGTTTGTGTTATTGTACGTGATACATTATTCTATAGCTAAAACACTTTAAGCCCTATGTTAGCCATACATTTTTATTAAATTGTTCAATTGGAAGAAAATATCATAGCTTTTTTTAAAGGAAAGAGGACTTATAGAAATTGATAATTCTTGTGTTTATTGTGGCTCATAAACTAAATTCTACACTAGCAAAGAATGAAAAAAAGAATGTACCAAAACTTAGTTTTTAATACATACCTATTAACATATTTTATTGTAATACATTAATTTACCTACATTTTATATTTTTATATTATATTAATGCATATTTTTATATAAACTTGAGTGGTAGGCGACATATAAAAAGTAGAAATGGGTGGTAGACCGCTGCATGTGACAAGAATACCTATATATTATAATAATTATCTAATTATATTTTAGGTGACTCTACTTGTGGCCAAAGAGCTTTATATGAAATAGGAATGACTGGAATACCTATTTATAATGTTAACAATAATTGTTCAACTGGATCTACTGCCTTATATATGGGTAAACAAATAATTGAATCTAAAAATGCTGAATGTGTATTAGTACTCGGTTTTGAGAAAATGGAATCTGGATCATTAACTGCCAAAGTAATAAATAATTTATACTTACATTTGAGATACTATTTGTATTACAATATATTATTAATTAAATTATTATGTATATATTAGTATTTAGATCGAACCAATCCTATGGATAAACATGTGACCATAATGGCCGATTTAGTTGGCATGGATGCGTCTCCAGTAACAGCACAACTTTTCGGAAATGCAGCTTTAGAATACATGAAAAAAAACGGAATAAAACCTGAAACCCTTGCTAAAATTGCTTATAAGAATCATAAGCATTCAGTTAATAATCCGTTAGTATAATGAAATATTTTATTATATTTTATCAATAAAATAAAAAACAGTAATATTAGAAATTGTCAACTTAATATTAAAATACATTTATAATTAAAACATTAAATCCAATATAAAATCACTAAGCAAAATATTTGTTTATAATGAGATAACATTTTTATTATTTTTACATTTTTCATTTATTGAAAAATTATTCATTCATATTTATTCATTTATAATAATTTTAATTAAATGAATATAAATAAAAAAAAAAAAAAGAAACCTTTATAAGTATAACCTGGTACATCATAACCAGGGTTCGGATTTTATAGAACCAAAAATACTAAAATATGTACTATATTAAGACTAAAAAAACCTTAAAATATATTCTATAAATATGCCATAAAAATATTAAAAATAGCAAACAACTTATATCAGAATTTTATTAAATTTATTAAATAATTTTTTGAAATATACATTTATAAAAAAACAAAGATTATCTTCTGTTACAGTTTCAAAAACTTATATATATATCAATATACTGATATACTTGTGTTTTACCTTGAATGAAGTCATCCTTTGTATGCAACTATTCTAAATTATCTGTGTAAATAATAATAAAATTCAAGTAATTATTATTCTTAATTATTTTATCTGAGTTACACTGTTTGATTAAGTCTTTTGCTGTATTCCGTTTGGCCATAATTTACTCATAGATTGTCAAAAACTTTATTAATCGTGGAAAAAGTTCGAATAGCTCAATGTTCATCTTTTGGCATTTTACTTAAATTATTGAAATAGAAAATTAAATAATACACAGTTGACTAGCGAACGAATATGAAATGAAATCAATCGATACGGAGAACTGACTGACACTAAAATACGTTTGACAGTTAATAGTGCCCATAATATAGAATCTACATTATAGAACAATAATAAAATATATATAAATAAAGCAGATAAAAAGACATAAATGTAAATAAAAATATAAAATATGTTTATTAGCAAAAAATAACATTAAAAATTTAAAATACTTCAAATATGCAAAAAATAACAAAACGAAATTTCTTGTTTGTAATCCCTGATTCATAAAACAAATTTATAGTCAACTCTGCTATTTTTATTTATATCCTATAGTAGCAAATACTATAAAATCTGAATCCTGATTATAACATTTGATAAAAAAATTATATTTAACCTTCAAGCAGATGCGCTATTTTCTGAAAAAAAAGTAATCTTACATTTTACAACAGTCCTAATATGTAGTGATAATTATACACATATCAAATATTGATTCATTTATCGTTTTATAAATCTGAATTTACTAATACATATTAATACTGACAGCAATAAAATATATAATGGATACTCAGTTGTTTGTATTTAAATTATTACAATAATTTATTAAAAAAAATCAATATTCTTAAACAAATAAAAGTTAAATTTTACTTTACAATTAATTTTCAGTAAGAAAATAATACAACTATTCAGGATTGCCATTGTCATCATTATTACAACACTGTTCTCATAAAATATTTTATTTTTTTTAATGTAGCTTATATACAAACCTCATGGCATGTATTGTACTTAGCAGCAACATGATAAGACGTTCCCGCTTGAAGGTTGAGATGATATTTATGATTATGTATTGTGGATTTCAATTGAAAGAAAGATTATATTCTTATTTTATTTTTTACTTAAATCTATTTTTGAGTATATTGTATTTGGTATACAAACAAATCATTTTTGCTCAAAGAAATAATTGAAATATAAACCAAAATATCAAATAATAATATTATTTAATTTTCAAGTGAAATAATTTGTACATACTTATTGTTTTTAGTTATTCACAGTTCCAAAAAGAGTATTCATTAGAACAAATTCTCGAATCACCAAAAGTATTTGGTCCATTAACTAAATTGCAATGTTGCCCAACATCTGATGGATCTGCTGCAGCTATTCTAGCATCTGAACAATTTGTCATTCAAAATAATCTTCAAGATCAAGCTATAGAAATTGTTGGAATGGAAATGGCTACTGATCCACCAACCACATTCTCTGGCCAAACCTGTGTTCAAATTGTACATTTTAAATTGTTTTATGTTTATATACTTATAATTAAATTATTTATGTTTAAAATATTAACAGGTAGGATATGACATGACCAAATTGGCAGCTGACAAATTATTCAGTAAAACTGATATCAAACCAGAAGATGTTGATGTAGTTGAGTTGCACGATTGTTTTTCTGCTAATGAACTAATCACTTATGAAGCATTGGGTCTTTGTATGCCTGGGAAAGCTGGAGAATTTATTGAATCTGGGTCAAACACATATGGTGGAAAAGTAGTTGTGAACCCAAGTGGAGGTTTAATATCTAAAGGGCATCCATTAGGAGCTACAGGTGGTTAATTTTATCAAAATATTAATAACTATAAATTTGTTATACATTGTATATATTAATTTTAATTTTTAATTGAATATACTGTTTACAGATAATAAAAATAATGTTGATAGTAATTTTTGTCTTATTGAAATTATGTATCATTAATTAAATGATATTTATTGCCATAGTATACTCAAATATTAGTTATTTATTTGAATACTAAATAAATTATTATTTAATATTATGTATTATATACTGTATAATATAATACTATGTATAAATAATTTACATTAGAAAAATAATTTGATTTATGTAAAAAAAAAAAAAAAAAAATGCTTTTTAAAGTTTAATACAGAATTATACCAGTTTTAATTTTCTATCATGGTTATAAAAAAATTGTTTCTTTTATTCTTAATTGTTAATTCTACTTTTTAAAATATGATTTAATTGTGTTTACATTTTTTTTTTTTTTTTTTTAGGAATTGCTCAGTGTAGTGAACTGTATTGGCAACTACTTGGAAAAGCTGATAAAAGACAAGTGCCTGGAGCCAAAATAGCTCTTCAACAAAATATTGGTTTGGGTGGAGCTGTTATAGTAGCCTTATATAAGCAAGGATTCCCTAAATCATTGCCGTAAGTCAATTTTGATTTGACATTTATTAAATAACTATTATAAGTCTTTGATGTTTATATTAAGATCCCCACAAAAAGTACCAGCCAAGCCAAAAACAGATAAAGATCCAACTATATTTAAAGTACACAAAGTATTTAAAATTCTTGAAGGAGCCATGATGGACGACAAAGAAAATCTTATTGAAAAAGTGCGTGGAATATATTGTTTTAAAGTTACCAACAGCAGTGGAAAAGAAGGAATGTGGATTATTGATGCCAAAAATGGAAAAGGGAGTGTTACATTTTATGGCACAGGTAATATATCGTAGAGATTTACAAAAATGCATTTTTTAACAGTGGATAAGTATTATATAAAAAAGAAGAAATAATAATTTTACCATATCAATTTTCATTAATTGATCAATGTTCATTGTTTTTATCTATAATAACATATATTTAAAATATCTTGAGAGATAAAAAATTAAAAAACTTAGCTCCAAAATTAAGTTTTATACTGTAATGTATTTTATATTTTATTTATTTTTGTTGTTTTAAATAATAAATATTCAATAATTTATGTTCATAACTTCTTGTTGATATATTTTTTAAATTATATGATTCAAGTGTTTTAATGTTGTTATTAATGTGTTGTATAAAAAGTAAAGCAATTTAAATTAACTCAAAATATTTTAGGTAGTTAAACATTTATTTTAATATTAATGAAAACTTAGGAGGTCAGGTTATTAATTCTGAAATAAAAGTTATGAGTGGCATTTAATTGATATCACAATGGAATTACAATTTAAATCTAATATTATTCTATCTGTCTGCTAAGACTGATAAGAGTGTAAACTGTTTAACTTGTCATTTAGAAAACGTAATCTGCTTGATCATTAACTAAAGTATGATTATTATATTTTGGATACTGTTTACAGGTAAACCAGATGTAACATTCACAATGAAAGATGATGATGTCGTTGAACTGATATCTGGGACATTGAATCCTCAAAAAGCATTTTTCCAAGGTAAAATCAAAATTCAAGGCAACATGGGTTTAGCGTTAAAACTAGTTGACTTGCAAAAACTCATGGGTCACAAAATAGCTGAACTACGATCAAAATTGTAATCCAAAAATGTTAAGTTAATTTTTATATACCAAACGTGTTATTATTATTTTTTTTTAAGATAAAATGTTTTTATAAACCAATATTTGGGATGATGTGGTGTTCTTTAAATTATTTTATTATGTGGTTCCGGTTAAAATATAAATGTTTAAATTGGTTATTATTTTAAATTTTTATATGTGATCTGTTGTTTATTATTGTATTCCATTGTTTACTGATGTTTGATAAATGAAAAGATAATAAAATTATAATTAGATTTTAAGGAAAGCCTGTTTGTTCATTGAATCATATTTATATGTCTATGGCCGATCTTACAATTCAATTGTTTAGTGATGGTCTAATGGGATATTTTCCATCCAACAATTTGTTATTACAACCTCCGATCAGGTCATGTTTAACTATTGCATAGTCTTACCATAAATGGTTTCCAAAATTATCGTAGATGACTGAATTTTATGTTTATTTTATGGTTACATGCATTAACATTGCATTTTTTGAATTTTATTATTTGCATTCTATGCAAAATATGTCAAAGCCCAGTGTAAACCTGTCATGTTTTACCATCTGTCTATCAAGCTACTGCTTGCCGAAGTCCACTAATGTTCCTGTGTTCCTGGTAGTGAAAAATCTCAATGCGAGCAGTAACCGTGTCGTTGGAGGGATGGCATATTTCCGAAACTAATAATAATAATAATAATAAATAAAATACTTACATTTATACATAATTAATAGTTTTACAATACTTACTAGTATACTAAAAAGTTACATACATCATATTTTTCAATATTTGTTGGTATTGGTAATGATGTGATATTTCGCTTTAATAGTTGTCAACTGATCTACTTTTATAGTCTAGGTATCAATTTTTACGAATACTCGCGTCCACTGCATTCTTTCGTGATGTATTTCAAACACTTCCAAATGATTTTATTTATTGTTTCATTGTTCTTTTTTAAATAACAAAGGATTATATTTTAGTAATATTCCACTTTTTTTTTTGTTGGTAATATATTGCATATTGTCCAAAATGTAATGATAATTTTGGGGATTTATTTTCTTATTCACAGTTTTAATATTCGTGTCGGGCAATTGAATGTTGAGAAAATGTACTGATCCCAAATAATTTTATAACATTTAAACTAAATTAGTATTTAGAATCTTAATTTTAGATTGATAAAAGAAAATATCAATGATTGTATAAAATTACCATCAACACAAACCATAGACAACAAATATAATCATAAAACACAATTTTCATCGATATAAATATTGTCTAATGCTTTAATATTTACTGGTGGCTGTTGGCTATTGGATAATAATTTTGATCTATTTTTATGTAGATATTTATTATATTTCCCAGTATGACTATTAGGTCCCAATAACGACGACATCTATTATCTGTTGTAGCCTTGTAAGTTGTTGGTCAGGGATGGCAAATCCATGGCATGCGAAAAGATTTTGTGGGCACGCGAAAATATTTACTATTATATATTATAGAATATATAATATTATAGGACCTATAATATAATATAAATAATTAACAAAACAATATTATTATTTATTATATATTATAATTATTATGTACCTAAACTAACCGTTTTATACTAATACATTAATTATACAATCAAATTATAATATAACAAAATATAATATTTTTAATGTTTTTTTTATGGCACGCTCTATAAAAAAAAAAAAAAAGGTAATTTTGGGCACGCAGTATTCAAAAGATTTGCCATCTCTGATCTCGATCTACTAAGCATCATCAGAGGATCCAAATTGGTAAATGAATATATATATATGTATTTGTATATGATATAGAATATTAGGTAAAATTTAGGAATGTTCAGTGGCCTGCAGCAGTAAGTAGGCCCGAGACATTTCGTAATTATTCAACTGGTAAATTTGAAAAA